TATTAATTCCCCCCATATTATCATTCTAGCAATCACGTGTAATCATCTTCATTACTAATTTGAATGAGATCATATTATCATTCTAGCGAATAAGCACGTGTAATCATCTTCATTACTAATTTGAATGAGAGTGTCTCTCATCTAATAGTCCAATTTACACTCTCAAACGAGGTACATAAGTTCAAATTCTTTGCGAATGAGCTCCATTATGGGATAACCATATATCATTATAGGATAACCATATAGAAATTTCTCAACCAAATTCAGAATGGGATAACCATATAGAAATTTCTCAACCAAATTCAGACGACAGAAGGAAGCAAGTTAAATACATTCAGCTTCTGTAAAAAATATGGCAAGCTTCTCATTCTTCCTATCAGGTTTCTTGATGTCCTCCGCCGACTCAAACGGAGGGAAATAACACGATTTAAGCGATTTAGGTGTGTCTGAGGCGCGGACAATAGAAAGGGCAGTTGCATACAATATGTCTGAAGCCATCAAAAGCTTTGAAAGGAAGAAGAGATGAATCAGTGAGCGCAGAGAAGCTGCAGAGGAGCACACCCGCGAGAGAGAGCTGCAGAGGAAAGACATGAGCATGTGAGAACGTGAGACAAGTTGCAGAGCCTCAGAGGAACGGAGCCTCAGAGATGTCGGGCCGCAGAGGAACCGCTACGCGAGAAGGTCTTGCAGACGAGCGGCAAAGCGAGGAAATCTCGCGAGACGGGAAGACGCGTCTCAGAGCAAGAGAAGAAGCGAGGGAGACAAACTGAGTCGATCGCGAAGACCAGTGAAGATGTAGCTGCTACTAGGGTTCGCCATCGGACAAAACCCTAGCAGAGCCGAGCGGGATCAGAGAAGAAGAGATGAATGAAGATATATTAGAAGAATGTATTAACTTATATATGAATACTTGTATGCTGGTATATGCATGATAAGAGTTCACCCCGTAATGGTACGAAAAGGGGACGTTAGTGTACCTGCGTGCATAGTTTAATTACCATCCCAAACAATTGTAATGGTTAGATCAACAAAACATAGTGCCGAAGGCATAATATCCACAAGAGACGAGTAGACAAAGTTAATCACCACAGATAATTATGAGGTTTACATCGCTAACTACTGTACCGACTGATAATATCAGTCAGGGCCGGTTAAGGGCCTCTGCACCCCATATAACTATGATGTTTAGATTGTTAATCGTTGTCTCAACGGGACAATATTATTCAAGGGTGTGTTAGGTTTTGTTAATAGTGATCCTTAAGCAGACAAATATGCATGTAAAGATTATAAAGTAAAAGTAAAGCTAAAATAAATGCATATAGAAACTTTAGAAATTTACATTAAGGTCATTGATACATGCATTAATATATTCAAATTTTTCTTATAAAAATAAGAAAGATTAACATATTCTAAGATTTTTTATAGAGATAAGAAAGACCAACAATAATATTGATTTTTTTCTTTGGGTAGTTTAAAAGTTTACTATTAGGTTATCTTTAACGATTACTACTAGGTTATCTTTAGATAACTCATTATGTTTGAATATTTACTATTAGGTTATCTTTAGATAACTCATTATGTTTGAATATTTTTTTAGGTTTTAAGGTTTTGACTAAGAAGAATAAAAGAAAATCAAATGTGTATAGAAGGCCAGAACAACAATCCAAAAAATACAAATTTCTACTGCTTAATTTAAATTACTTTAGTGACTTTCATGAATATTTGAATATTATACAGTTAGTGATTGAAATAGAATAACAAAAAATTGATTTTAATCATCCAACAGTCCATTCTCGTCTTTGTTAATTCCAAGTCACGGGTTGGGTCGTAATGAAATTGATATCAGAACAAAAGATCTAGATAAAAAAACCAAAAAAATAATTGTATTATGTTATAAATAATAGAAATTAAAAAATTTAATCGAGTATAATTAAATTATATTACTGTTATTTCATAGTTATAAATGATCATGAGGAAGAGATCAGAGATGATAATATAGAATTTAATATACCCCAGAATGTCACAGTCAGCACTTGTGCATTTTCTGATAAGATGAATGTTGTGACTC